TATATATATATATATATGTATATATATAATATGTAAATATATAACACTTAAGCACTATGGCCTCTTTAAAATTCATGCACAAGATCCGTATAATGTCCTTTTTCTCTGTATATATTCGATGTAAAATTTCATGCTATGTATATATTACATTATCTTAAACTGATTAAGCGCAATAGTTGATATTAAAATGTAGACAGTTATTCGAAATTATTGCTAGTAGACAACGAAATTTTTTTCTTTTTTTTTGTTTTTTTTTGTTTGTTTTTTTTGTTTGTTTTTTTTTTTAAATATCTGCAACAAAGATCACGAATCAAAGGGAATATACATTTCAACAATATATCAAATGATCATTTATCGATTTCAGAATAAAATCATTTATGAACTATGATATATTTTTATTTTGTTCTCATTGAAAAATTATGTATACTCATTGTTCCTTAATAATACATGTACATGTGCATACGATATGTACGATTCAAAAAAGGAAAAACAAATACGAGATACAGAATAATTGAGAGTTAATAAAAATTGCACGAAACAAATATTGTCAGGTTCTTTATCCTTTAAAGATGCCTCGTATATAAAATAGATTGAGCGTTATATTAAATTTATTCAAATTTATTCCCGTTGAAACGTGACATATGTATTTAACGATAGTAACAAGACTCATCAGTATCTTGACGTATCCGAGACATGGTGATCCCTCGATGGACGGTGCTTGTAATAACGATCGTAATAATTCTCTTTAGCCGGATATCTTGATGTATCCGCAAACCTAGCATCCACTTCCTTTGCGTCCGGTGGATATCTAGCATCTACTTCTCTGTTCTCGATAGCGTACCTGCCATCTGGATCTCTACCATCAACCACGTATCTTCTATCCATATCACGATTGTCCACCGGATATCTACAATCAGTCTCTCTACTATCAGCTTGAATTCGATTGTCCGCGTGTCTAGTATCTGGATATCGGACATCCAGCGTGTATCTACAGTCTGTGGATGCGTAACGACCGTCCGCCTCGTAATAGTTTCGATCATAACCATAATTGTATCTCACTTTCTCCGTGTAGTCTGGATTTTCCATCACTGGATACACAGCACGTCCTTCATAATTGGTGTATCTTGTGTATTCTGTGTCGGACGGATAGGTAGCGCTGGGATTCGGAGGTGCAGTTGTATGTTGAACCATATAATTACGTGTGTCATACCCAGGATCCTCGTAAGATGGGTAATTAGGTTTCTCATACGTATTATAGTTCTGGCCTTCATATTTGTATTTATTGTTATCGTCGTACGGATAATTGGGAGGGTACGACGGATAATGCGTGGTTTTATAATCATACTCCGAATCGTATCTAGGTGTATTAGCAGCTTCAGATGTATTTAAGTTGATATAAGGTTTCGCCACAGGTACCCGTCGATTACTCGGCGTATGAACCGGTATAGGACGGTAGCATTCATTGTGTTTGCTCGTATCATACTGACGAGCCATCATTAAGCCATCAATATTCTGCAACCAGATACACCAGGCCTCGACAATCACATACGATTTTTATCTATTATAATTGGTTGAATCATACACATATACGCACTCTCACTCATTAATTATGCTATTAACATACTTTTTTTTTATTATTTTTTGATTTTTTTTTTAACATGTCATACCACATACCAATTATATACCAATATAAAATTTCGAACCTATCACGTAACACGCGCTAGTAGAAGGTTTTTAAATAAAAGCGATATGACTTTAAGCATCACGCGTCTTTCATTCATCTACTACAATCTATTTGTTTATACTGTTACTAATATTATTTTTTTTACAACTATTCATTAATTCGATTGAAGATATCATATTGAAAAATTCTATATTATAGTTTGCTGATAATATCTAATCACGATTTGGAAATATATTTCTTTTCGCAAAAATTCAATACTCACTTCAAGAAATATAACAATTCGTTACTTCACACATCGCATGTGGATCAAAACCTGCGATTGCACACACTGTCACGCAAATCATACCCATTACAATGTTTATAATCTTTAGAATGTTATACATTTAATTAATGCTCGAATATTTCATTTAAAATTCACTCTCAATATTAACATATAACAATATTACGTTTTAATACGCGAAAAAATTAATCCCTCTAAATCTCATTTCAATGATGCAATAATATTTCATTTAAGCAAGCTCGAAGCAAATTAACAATTACATAATACATATTCCTTGAAAATTTCGCACTAAAAGATCGAATTTGTAAAATGATCTACTTGTTGCAATTAATCTATCTAAGTTTTATATAAATTAATTGGGTATGTATCTTCAAATTTTCATATCTATTTTAAAAAATATTTGACAGTGGTACCTCTCATAACATACTTAAAAAATTTCCACAGTATTTAAAGAAAACACAAACATACCAATGTTATTTACAAGAGCACGCAAGCATACTTTCTTTTACTTTCTTAACTCACATTGTATCATACAACACTCATATAAACATTCACGCATCACATCTCCTTTATAAATATACCATTTAATTTGACTACACATTCATCTATTTATACCACAATATACTTTCTTCTCAAGAGATTAAACATATGTATAAAAAATGACGTTCAAAAATTGTAAATGGAAATTAATAAAGGTAATGTTTCATATAGTCATATATTTCATATGACTCAGTCATTCTGATTCAAAATAGGAAAAAGAATTTGTAAAGCAAAATATATTTTATACGCATCTATGCCATAGTCAAACTTTTTAATCATTCTTTTAACTTTCTTATAATTCAAGCTTCATAATTCAACTAATAATTTAGCATGCACCATAGATCTACACAAGAAAAATATATATATGAAAATTTTTTTAGAAAGATTTTATTATATTTCATTGCAATTTTTTATTATGAATACCATGCTATTCATTCTTCATTTAATTAATATTTTTTAACATTTTTTCTCATAATTTTAAACATTTTTTTTGTAATATATACTAATTTTTTAGATTTTTAAATGATGAAACAATATAATTTTTTTACATAGTATTTATTAAAAAAAAGAAAGAAATATTAAATTTTCAAAATAATTATTTGCGCGAAAATATATTATAATTATATAATAAATTAAATAATATAAAAGTACAGATCTATGATTTGCACGCAAATATTCTATATAGATTTTGATCTTAAACAAATATTAACTACTTGAACATTTCACAGCTATTTGAAGATATACAATGAAACAATTAATATTTGCCAATGTATATAATAATGCTCTTACCTTACTGTTGGGAACCTTAACATCACACCATCGCCCATCAATCATATGTCGTTGAGCAAGACATCTTAATTGGGATTCATAACTCCCAAATCTAATAAAACCAAATCCTTTACTTTGTCCTGATTTTGCATCTTTTTTAACCTGTAAAAATATTTAAATATTTACATTATACCAATTTATATATTATATTATATATTATAATTTATTCTTCAATTTCTACAGTGACATAACAAATTTATAAATAATCAAAATAATTATTTAAAATAAATTATTGAAATAAAAATCTAATGATATATTTTACGATTGGTTCTAAGATATCAATTTGTTATCAATAATGAATTCAACAATGAATTATCTTGGCATATATTCCTTAAAAATATTTGAAGGAAAACAAAAAAAAAATTATACTATTTATAAATTGGAAAAAATTAAAAAACTCACTTGTGCCATGAGTACTTCTCCAAATGTTTCAAAATACTCTCGCAAGTTCTGCTCGGTTGTTTTCCATGGTAAACCAAGTACGATCAAGTCTGTGCAACGCAACTTTGTTTCCATTCTTTTAGTCTTAGCTGTGGAATTTTCCAAATTGTCATCAGATTTACGTTTGTTCTCTGAAAAGATATAAGTGTTCATGTCTACTAACTTTTTTTCATTTTACTAGAACCTCTTTTAAAAAAATTTGAATCTTATTGAAAAATTTTATATGTATATATATAATTTATGAAAAGAGATAAAAATAAATGTAAAAATAATGATAATAATAATAATAAATAGAAGTAAGAAAATATATAGTATAAAGTACAATAATTATTTTTCAAAAAATATAACAAAAATTATGTTACATTGTGTATATGTGAGGCTCTATGTGTGCGTGTGTGTGCAATATAGATATTATATTGTTATATTTTAGTGAAGCATTTGAGTTCACATCTATGTACTATATTATCTATACTATATATATCTATACTCTACAGAACTATATATCTATATAAACTCACATAGATGTAAACAAATTATAATTATAAATAAGTGTATATTTATAAATATTATTAAAATTGCAAGTTAAAAATATTTTAATATAATCTTATTTATAATCTAGATCAGTAAATTAATTTATTTGAACATTAACATGTGCTTATGTTAATATCAACAAAACATAATAAATAATCAAAATTTGGTGAATAAATTACAAACAATTTTTTATATTTGATGTTAAATATAATTATTTAATAGAAAAATCATGCGAAACTTCTTACATTCCTTTTCTTTTTAGAAAAAAGAAAGGAAAAATTAATCGAAAAGAAAATTAGAACAAAAAATTGATTCGAAATACATAAACACAAACACATGTAGTGGACTTCAAAAAAAAATCTATATATAACAGTTATGATGAAATTTATAGAAATTATTAAAGATCAAATATTGATAAAATTTATAAAAAATAATTAATAAAATATTTTTCGCGATGTATTAAATAATTGAAAAAATAAAATATTAAACATATATTAATAAATAATAATAAAAAAAATTAAAATTATATATAAAATTAAAAACTTTTGTCGATTAACATTTTAAATCTCGAAATATTTTAAAATTTATGTCAATTAATATACGAAAAACATTATATACTTGATCTTGTATGATAGTGTTAGTATATTTTCGAGAAAGAAGAGGGGATGAGAGAAAAAGATTATGATTTACAGTGAAATAAGTACCTTTTGGAAAAACACAAAAGTAAATTGCCTTGCCCCATCCATTTTCGGGCGGATGAAGACGTCCGTCAACAAGACGAATGCCGCGCATCGTCCGAGATTCTGGATTGCGATATTTCAGGCCACACGTTCCGGGAAACTGGGCGGTTACGGTAGTCAATAAAAGTGTACTATCGTCTTCCGTTGGCAATTCGATCGGTTCATCGCCTTCATCTTCGGCAACTTGGATATATGACGACATAATTTTCTCTTCAAAACGTACGGTCTTTCCGAAAAAAGCGAACGTTTCTTTTTTCCAAAAAGAGAATAAAAATTTCGTACAACACAACAAACACACACGCTCGGCCTCGCAATCAGTCACGCAACACCGCACCTCTTTCTCTTCTCTTGCATAGCTACCAGAGCTACCAACCGGTTCATTCCGGAACTACAGACTTTTCAATATGTCTGGAAAATTCCACTCAATTTCCGTTTATAAAATAATGCTTGTAGAATAAGATATATATTTTGTTTGATTTTAGTATATCAACGCAAATAGAATTTTTTTAAATAAAAATAATGATGTTTATTGATTAAACAATATTTTTTCATATATATTTAAAAGATATATACAATTAATACTAAGTTCAAATGAATTACTTATATGATCTTAAAATAAAATACTTAAAAATATTTTTTTTCATGTTTAAAACGATAGAATAAGAAAATAACATGATAAAGTTATTAAAAGTTTAAAATCATAAAGTTAGATTATATTCATATTATTAAATATATTCATTAATGAAAAATCAGATCGAATAGATTTTTTTTTTACGAAAAATATTTTTTATAATTAATTTATATATATATATATATATATGTATAATACTTAATATATTATTATGTGCTTAATTATTATTATGTACTTAATTTATATTATGTAAATTATATATTAATTTTTATTTTCTTATCTAGGGAATTTTATAATGTCAATTAAATTAGCTAAGAAATTATGTTAAAGCATCTATTTTTGGCGGAAAAATATAACTTTTAAAATATATTATACTTCATTAAAAAGGACTCGTTAAATGTTCAAAAAATATATTTCTCTTAAAAATACATTTAAATTGTACATTTAAGTTATAAATATCAATACATTAAAAAATATATATTTTTTGTCCAAAACTCATAATTCATAAAATGTATTTCAATATTATATTAAATAAGCATTATTGAAATGATCATTACGATAAATTAAAAAGAAACAAAGTTGAAATGCAGATAATATGCAACCTAAAAAATTTGGTATTTGTATGAAAAGATCATTAAGAAGGTAACCATACACAAACCATTGAGAAGAAACTATAAAAGAAGCCATGATAATAGGAAAAGGTAAAGTTTCAGTATTTTTAACTTTTATTACATGTGCCTAAAAAAAAATATTTTATTCCATCAATTCTTCTTTAAACAAGTAATTTCATATTATAAATTGAAAAAATTAAAAGAACTTACCAGCATCATTAATGGAGATGCAAAAAATAATACTGTTATTGTACAACTAAGAAAACCAACATATTTTGCAGCTAATACTCTATCTTGCTCATAAAAACTATAAAAATATACAGTTCCAAGAAAACATGTTGCTGCAATTATTTGTCTTATTATTTTAAATTTTTTTACACTATATAAAATGAACACATAAAGATAAGATGCTTGAAGTATTATGCCAAAAATATTCACTAACAATATAAATTGATCTTCAATAAGCATACCATATCTCATCCATAAAACACATCTGTAACATATATTTATTTATACAAAAACTTATACATTATACAAAAATTTGATTCTAATTAAATTCTTAAAGAATATTTATATGTTTTATATGTTTTAAAAAGCATTACAAACATAAATTAAATGAAATATAACAAGAAAGAATAAAGAAATAATTATCATAGTAAAACAATTTTTAATAATAAATAGTTTTTATTACTAAAAGATATAACACTTACGATGTATAACATGTTACAAATGCCAAAGCTGAACTATTTCCTGTGCTGCCATTTTTAATGATTTTTCTGCATACCAGCCTAAAATATATTTCTTTGTCTTTCACTCATATATTAGATACAATATTTTTGTCTACATATAATGAATACTAAAAACTTTTTTAATATTTATTTTTGACAAGACAAATGTTTTGTCAAAATCTAAAAAACTTTTATATTTTATAAAAGTATGATTATATGCTTTAAAAATTTATTATATAATATATTTATGTTAACAAAATATATAAAAATTCTTAACAATTTCTCAAATAAAAATCAGATTTTAGGTTCACATTTTTACTTACATGCCAGCTAGAAATTGCAAAATTGTACAAATCGAAGCAGTCGTAGCTAACACATCTCTAATCTTCGTTGAAATCATAATATAAAATACTATTACTTCTATATATTAACATTCGTACCAGATTTCTAACCTTGAAATATATTAAGCCTGGTGAAGAAATAAAAGTGAAGTTGCTGAATAAAATTGAAATGCTAAAATTTTTTTTTTTTATATTATAATTTTTTCAAATTTTATATTATATTAATAAAATATTAATAATTATTTTTTATTTTTTATGAAATAAAAAAATAATTAATTGTGTCAGTATTATATTTGATAATCCTAATCTTTAATGATATAGTTTGAAATTATTTTTTTTTTGAGAAATGAAAAAATTATAATTATTTTATAATATATGTATTTCAAATATGAATGACACACATTAAATAATATTCGATTATTTTAGTCAATTGATTTTGGATAAATCGAAATTTTTATCATCTTTTGTTTTTAACCTAATCAAAAAATTGAATAAAGAATGAAAATTAAATTGAATTTTCTAATTTATATCGTAAATCGAACTTTTAATTACATTAATATAAAATCCTATTCGCAATCAAAAATTCTACTTAATAAATTGAATATCAATTCAAATAATTGGAAAGAGCAACTTGATAAGACGATGCAAATTTTCCCGAATTTTATAACAGTTGAAGAAGAAATATCTTTAACTGAAGAAATTGATCCTTATATAAAAAGATTACGATATGAACAATCCCATTGGGATGATGTTAGTATAATGATATGTAAATATATATATATATATAATATATAATGATGATTATTTTACATAAATTATAAATATATTCATTTTAATTGATCATTATAGGCAATACATAGTTATAGAGAGACGGAAAAAAGTAAATGGAATGAAAAAAATATAAAAATAATAGATAAAATTCGAAAAAAAGCATTTTCCAAAGAAATGTCTCATATTCCATTAATACACGTTTTAGACTTAGCATCTGAAGGATGGATAAAACCACATGTTGATAGTATAAAAGTATGTATTTTATTTTTTAAATATTTGTAAAAGTTTGTAAATGATTAATTTAAATGAAATGATTTTTTTATAGTTCTGTGGAGAAATTATTGCTGGTTTAAGTTTGTTAACAGATAGTATAATGAGATTAAAAATGGTTGATAATGAATCATTATATAAAGATTTCTTATTATCAAGAAGATCTCTATATATAATGAGGTAAAAATAATGTTTGTATGTTTGTAACAATATATATTTTATTATTTATATTTTATATTTATATACATATATATTTTTTTTTTTACAGTGGCATTGCTAGATATAATTATACACATGAAATTTTAAAAAATAAAGAATCCTTTTTTAAAGGACAATATATATTAAAAAATAGACGTATTTCAATAATATGTAGGAGTCAACCAAATCATAATTGTAAACAGTATTAATTCTGCAATGATATCCTTTATATTCTTTCAATTCAGTGATTGATGTACTATAGTTTTCTAGATATTACATCATGTTTATATTAATATAAAAAATTTTGGAAAATATTATTGATACATTTTAAAGTATAAAGTTTTTAAACTATAAAATTTTAAAGGAAAATAATACAAATTTTAAATTTGCAATAATTTTATGAAACAATAATTAATAAAAAATAAATATCCTAGTGAAAAATAAAAGATCTTGGTATATCGTTGCAAAATTAATCATGTGATTGTATAAATATGTAAATTTGTATATATGTATAATTGTATTACATATGAATATAATACTAAATTATATATATATGAGTACAACATAGAATTGATATGTAAATATAATATTTAATGAACTATAGTATGTTAAACTTAAATTTAGAAAATTAAAATTTTTTTAATCTTTTATAGATTTTAATGCGAAGAAGATTACTGATTTAATTTTTAGGAATTTTAGGAATTTAATTACATGATGCCATACTAAAATTCTAATCAATTCGTTTAAAGAATAGAAATATCATCGCGTCAAATTTTATTATTTTTTAATTAAAGAAGATTTAAATAAGATATTAATAATATTATAATATCAATATAAATCAATTTATTTGATTTATTAATTTATATAAATTATTCATTTTATCAAAAAAATATATTATCATATTCATTTAAAATCAAAAAAATATATTATCGTAAATATCATATAACAATCAACTATGTATGTTATATGATTCAATTTTAATTAGGTTTAAATTGTGATATAATTTGAATTATTTATCTAAAAGAAAAATATGAATTTGTATTTTTATATCTTATTGTAAAATCTTGTTAAAAAATCTTGTTAAAAAAATCCCTAAAAATTCGCAACTTTGAATAAATTCCCTACATGATCTCTCTATAATTTCTATAAAATCTGTTTTTATTTCCTTTCTTATAATCACATGAATTTAAAAAAAATTGTGCACGAATTGATTAAAAAAAATCTGATATTTTATACAAAAAAGAATTAAAGATAATATTTGTAATGAAAAAAATCGATTTTTCGACCCAAAAGGTAATGCATAATAATTAATAAAAATAATGAAATAATAAAAAGTTATTCAACTTTATTTTTTTTGAAACTAAATTAATGAATATTATTGTTTTATTATCATTTATTATTTTATAGAACAATTCAACTCATAATGGAAAGCAATCTCAACGGAAAATATCAATGTATTTTATGAAAACTTCCAAAAATGAAAAATTTATAAAAAGTAATAATTCGATAAATAATATAGTTGAAACGATTATTACAAATGATGAAATACAAAAAAAAAGAAAAATATCAGAAGTTTTAGATTCATCAAAAATAAAAATTACAAAATATAATGATGATACTTCTGATGTACATAATATGCAAAACATACAAAAGCAAAATCATTTACTTACAAAATCAAATGTCATTCATAATGTGTTTAATACGGATAATGTTAACACAAATATAATTAAAACTAAATATAAAGATGCATCTATAGTTGAATTTAAAGAAAATATAGAAAATATAGAAATT